CTGTATAGTAGGTTTTGAGATCTGGCAGTGTGAGACCTCCTACTTTGTTCTTCTTCTTCAATAGTGCTTTGCTTATCCGAGGTCTCTTTCCTTTCCACATAAAGTTAGTGACTGTTTTTTCCATATCCCTAAAGAATGTTGATGGGATCTGGATTGGGATTGCATTGAACGTATTGCTTTGGGTAGAACTGACATTTTCACAATGTTCAATCTCCTATCCACGAGCATGGGATGTTCTTCCATTTATGTAGCTCTCTTATGGTTTCTTGAAGTAGTTTTTTTATAGTTATAATCACATAGTTTTGTGAGTCATAAAGTTATAATTTACCTTTTAATGGAAAAGAGCCAGTGTGAAGATGACTGAGACATCGTGAACCAGCCCTAAGGCAACAGATTTACATTTCCACGAAGCTGTGCTTAAGAACACCTTGCTCTCACTGACTCTGCACTGCCCACAATGCTGTTTGCTAAGGAATGGGCTCATGTTCTCTCCCTGGACTTATTATTTATTTAGCTTTGACTTTCCAGAATTAAACACTTATAACTATCCAAGGCATATAACTGAAGTTTTGAAACTCAAGGATGGGAAAAGGAGTAAATGTTTTCCCTCCTAATTCCACTCATTCTGATGGTCAGCACTTTTTCCCAGCTCCAGACAGGGGAACCAAATAGAGGTGAAACATAAAAAAAGGACATTTCCCCGTGTCAAGTAAGGCTTTGTGTTAGAAAGTGAAGTCTTTAAAATGAAATGAAGGATGAATTACAATGGGGTGATGGTTCTGTTCTCTATCTTGAAAGGCTTGGGTTAGACTTGTTAAAACTTATGATCTGTGCACTTTATTGTATGCAAGTATCACTTCAGAAGAAAAAAAAAATGAACTCAGTTATTTATAATATGCTTAAGTATTTAAAAGTAAGTATACTGATGTTTTGGTGGCATAGTGCCTAAGGCATCTGACTACTAACCAGAAGGCTGGTAGTTCAAACCCACCAGCCACTCCTTGGAAGGTAGGTTTGGGAATCTACTTCTGTAGTGATGGTGCTTCAGAAACCCAAGGAGGGGTCGCTATGAGTCAGATTGGACTCGATGGCAATGAGGTTTTCTTTCTTTTAAAATACTGACGTCCCACTAATTGTCTGTCAGCTTGTTGCACTGTGGTGGCTTGCAAGTTGCTGTGATGCTGGAGGCTATGCCACTGGTATTTCAAATCCCAGCAGGGTCACTCAGGGTGAAAAGGTTTCAGCAGAGCTTCCAGACTAACACAGACTCAGGAGAAGGATGGGGCCATCCACTTTTGAAAGAACTGGTCAGTGAAAACCTTATGAATAGCAGTGAAACACTGTCTGATATATTACTAGAACACTTTATGAATAGCCCTGAAACAGTCTGATACAGTGCTGGAAGATGAGCCTCTCAGGTCAGAGGGCACTCCAAATAGGACTAGGGAAGAGCTGCCTCCTCAGAGCAGAATCATCCTTAAGGATGTGGATGGAGTAAAGCTTTTGGGACCTCCATTTGCTAATGTGGCATGACTCAAAATGGGAAGAAACAGCTGCAAACATCCATTAATAATTCTACTGTTTTTCTTTTTCCCTAGAAAGCACAATGGAATGCAAGTAAAGTGATATTGTTACAGGAGTCACCTTGAACCTCTTCCAATTTACATTTTACAAAAGGCAAATCAATTTGAAAATCCAGAATTTCAACTATAATTAGAAACAAATTTATTTGCAGCATTAAGGGTGAGAATCTCAGCACTAGGACGGAGCTCTTCAGACCTTTCCTGGACACACAGTGTAAACCACAGTCACGCACAATGACCACCTTAAGACCTTTCCTGGATATATAGTGTAAACCACGGTCACGCACAATGACAACCTTCAGACCTTTCCAAGACACGCAGTGTGAACCACGGTCACGCACAATGACCACCTTCAGGCCTTTCCTGGACACTCAGTGTGAACCACGGTCACGAACAATGACCACCTT